CATTCAGGGAGGTGCAATATAGGTCACTCAACAGGTATGTGAAAGACAAATGTTAACAAATGCACTATAATAGCAGAATAAAAGCACACTAGTTTTTTGATTTTTGACATACTGAGATAATATGAATGTCAACTATTTGATCTTGGTCTGTAGTTTTACAGTTTCACAGTGGACTAACTGACAAAGGTATAATTTTATTCTTTACTGAAATGCTGTTGCAAACAGGCATATAGACATTGGCAGGCAGTAAAAACTGGAATTACTGTGATAAAAGAAATAACTTTTCGTCCTCCCTCTCCCTCTGTGTGAAAAGTATTTATTCGTCGGTATAGGCTGTAGATCAGTTATAAGCAAATAACACCTTCAAGGAAAACTCCCATCAAAATACCACCTTTTCTATATTTTAGGATGGCAGGCTTGCTCCAATCTTCAAATAACCTTCTAACATTTTATCTATTTCCTAATCTGCAAGGGCTGTTTATTTTTAAATTAGCTGATCCTCTAAACCAGACACGGAAATTCATTTGTTGTTAGAGCTTGCTTTAAGATCATTAATGAGCAGCTAGTTAAATCTTCCCCTACAAGTCCCCCTGCCCAAATCCCAATTAAATTGAAATTAATTATTTATTTAATTGATGGGCAATGCATAATTTATCCAATGAGTTGAATATATGCTTGCAACCTAAGTGGGCAGGAAAGTCAGGCGTAGGTTTTTACAACACACATGGGAAGAGATGGGTCCAGTGGACCTTTTTACCAATACACTGAAAGCGTAAGTGTTAAAAAATTGATCTGCCTGGAAAATCAGGTAACATTTGTGGATAACTGGGTGTCCAGTCCACTGAATTCTGTGTGTATGATCAAGAGCTTTTCATAGCCTCTGGTCATTGAAAGGAGCTTTTGGATAGGACTGTGCGATCCAACTTCTTTTGAGAGTGTTTTTTTTTATATTTTTATTCTTGAAAATCTTACTTACTAAACTATAATGCTCTGCGCTGCTCTCTGCTTTTTTTTTGAAAATTTTCAGCATGGCATATTGACAAACACTGTCATCATCTTGATCCTTAAATTTAGGGTGTCTATGTATAAAGAAATTGCTGCACGAATGTCCTAAGTATTAACATAGGCACAATGAATGTTTGCAAGATGATTACATAGTTACATAGTTAGTCTGGCTGAAAAAAGACAAAAAGTCCATCCAGTTCAACCATTAAAAAAAATTAAAAAAAAGTTATAATCTTATATCCACCATTGATCCAAAGGAAGAAAAAAAAAAAAACAGCAAAGCATGATCCAATTTGCTCCTGCAGGGGAAAAATTCCTTCCTGATCCCCGAGAGGCAATCTGATATTCCCTGGATTAACTTTACCTATATATGTTAGTATCCAGTTATATTGTGTGCATCTAGGAAGGAAACAAGGCCTTTTCTAAAGCAATCCACTGAGCTGGCCAGAACCAACTCTTAAGGGAGTCTATTCCACATTTTCACAGCTCTTACTGTGAAGAAACCTTTCCGTATTTGGAGATTAAATCTCTTTTCCTCCAGACATACAGTAAAGAGTGCCCCCTTGTCCTCTGTTTCTACTCAGGAGAGAATAAATTCAGTTCCTCTAGTCTTTCCTCATAGCTGAGCTCCTGCATGTGCATGTGCGCATGCGTAATTTAGCTGCACTGGAATTTGTTTTCCATATTCCATACCTTCTGGTATGGTCCCACTGTTAACCCAAGTTCTGATCCCTTATTGGAGCAAGCAGCCAGATAGGCTATTTTCAGGAAGGCGCACTGAATCTCACTCAGCCCTCAGACAGTGATCAGGCAAATAGTGTCTTTTTTTTGTTTGTTTTGAAGAAATGGGATGGGCATTGGAAAAAGCTTTGGGATGCCCACAATTAAACAACTTGGATGTGGACACTATCTTGAAACGGTTGACTGAAGTAAAGCAGAGTTCTCTGTACAAAACATAGCAATGCCTCAACACAGGGGGAGCTTCCACGACGGGTGCAGCCTTGGCAGTAGATCTGGAACACGCTCTCTAACAGAAAGAGGTATAAAGGCAACAGTCTCTCTCTTGAGAATTCTCTAAGGCCTACTCACTCTGATCCAGGCAATCTGAAGGCCTTCTTCCAGCTTCAACTGACACTGGAGCAAAAGTATCCCAGGAAGATCGTTTTTGAATGTTGTCCTCGATTTCCTGTGACTTTTGGGGTACTCCTTCAGCTCCTGGGTAAGATAAAATCATCCAGGACTTCTTAAAGCTTCTTTAAGTCTTGGAAGGTTTCACAGCACTTCCAGGCTGGGTCAGTCTCCAGCAGGCGAAGGTCCCTGCTACTCTCTGGTGACTTTCCCAACCAAGGATTGGCTGAGGCTGTATACAGGGACAGCTCAGGCTTTACCTTTTCCACCCACTATGTTCCAGAGATTTCTGGAAAGACAGTGGGAAATGTCTACAACTGCAGAATGCAGAGTAGACATAAAGCAATCCACAAGCTTCACCTGCTACGGTAGAGCCCAAAATAACTAAATTAGCCTTTCTACAAGCACCTAACTAGGAAGGTGCTGCACATAGACCCGAAAATGTTGTACATCAGTGCATCAGATTGTTTTGATTTAGATTAGTCCCAATTTGTGTCTATACAGTGTAGCCTTTAGAGTATTCTGCATTCCCACTCTATCTTTTGTTACTGTATTTTACCGTTTTTATCCTAATAAATTATTACTTACTACAATATGATGCTTTGTGCTGCTCTCTTTCTTCTATTGCAATGACAGCTATTGGAGTAATTATGTTCTCCTTTCTTTTGTATATTCATCGTTCTGAATTGATTTGTATTTTTGAGAGTTATTTCAGAAGATTTGAATTCATAACATTATGTGATTATGTTATTTTGGTGACTTGCTTGCAACTTTTTCAGTGCAACTTACTTGCAATTTTGATGCAACATGCTTGCTACTTTTCCATGTGACTTGCTTGTGACTTTTATGTTTTGGGACTTTGGCTAATCATAACAATACAGAGTGGGACACGTATTACTGAACTTACAAAACCCTCTGAAGTTGCAAATGAATGAAATGAATGAATACAAATTAATTTATTGTTTTGTTATAATTTTTTTCAGATTCGTTGAAATTCCTTACTATTGTGATGTGGAGATTCAGATACATCCGAATAACGAACATTTCAGCAAAATTTTTATTAGTAACAAAACTAATTACACATGCCTAATACAGAATAACTCCACTTTCTATTTTAGTTTGCTGTTACTTATGTAACTTTTTTGTGGGGACAATTTTAAGTTGGCAAATACTGTTCCTTATATAGCTATACCTATAACTAGCTGTTATTATTACTATTTCAGTTCTGCTGTAAATCACTTCTTTGGTTGTTTTCAATTTGAAAGAGAGCACCAAGTTCACACATCACTGAGCTCAGTCGCAGAATTGTTGCTGTCATTACTTTCAGTGTCTGTTGACGAATTTCCCCACGAATCACTATCGCTCAATTCTGCAAGTGATTCTAATTCACTATCACTGTTTTCTAGCTGGTCTAAAACCGCTTTGGACCTAAAGGGATGCTTTTTGGATGCCATGGGCATTCTCAAGTTTCCAGGCAGAAAGAACAGTAAAAGTAAAGGCAGGACACAGGACAAAGCACTCTGGACAACATGTATGTGAAATGGTTTGATACAGTAATGTAATCCTAACAGATTACAATGTATTGTGTGTATGTCATGTTTTGTTTACTTTTTTTTAATCTCCCACCGCTTCCGCCCCGTGCATCGCTGCGCTCACAGGGAAGGGAACCCGGATGGCAGCATCGTCCGGAGGACACAGTGGGAGGACATCGGGGATCGCAGGGACAAGGTAAGTTACACTACAATGTAATCCCGAGTGTGGCTCAGGGTTACAACTTTTGGTACTGAAAAATTAACCCCAAGCCACACTCGGAATTACCACCAGGGAGGTTAATAGCCTCTGCAACTGAACTTTGCTGCAACATTCATCTGGAGGTATCCAGAATAACTGTATATACCCAGGTATATGTGCACAATTCTACTAGGATGCTTGCTGGGTCCTTTGCTGATTGTACATTGGATGTATATGCTATTAATAATCTTTTCTTTTATAAATATTGTATTGTATATGCCCATAATGGTGTGAGTATATACTTATGGTTATTGTTATATGTTGGTTGCAGTAGTTGATTTGCTCCCAATTACTTTGATTAGATTACTGGTTAATTTCCCAGGAAGGGAATCCCCTCTGCTCACAGAGGCCCTGTCCTGGGTGGAGGCACTGTCAACTTTATTATTAAACTCACTTCTTCCACTTAGTGAAGGTTCTGGCTGTCATATTTATCTACAGGTCTAGTACAATATCTTGTTTGGTGAGGACCATTTCTCATACCCCCCAAAAGGGCTACATAAGCTATAACATGACATATCTTGAGAGTCCAATGGTTCCTATAGGGCTGTCTAGAGAAAGGACACTGTTTTCTCAGTGGGGGGAAGAGTGTTGCAGAGGCAGTCAAAAAGAGAAGACCTGCAGAAGTGGTTATATTCTGTTCCCCTTTGTAATGTACAGCGCTGAGCGAACTATCGGCGCTTTATAAATACTGTACAATAATAATAATAATAATAGTGCACCAAATAACACTTCCATTAACCTGTGGACATTATTATTGAAAATCCAAGTCACTAAACGTTACAAATGAGCCTAATCAATGGATCAAAGTGTCTTTCTTTTACAAGTTTATTAACTAGTTGCCGACCGCAGATAGCCGAATGACGGCTACACTGCGGCCGGGCCAGTTCTGAGTGGACGTCATATGACGTCCTCCCAGAACGCGCTCTCCTGCGCGCCCCAGGGGGCGCGCACCCGGCGATCTCCGTGATCGCTGTTTCCTACGGACACAGCTGATCACGTGATGTGGTAAAAGGCCAATCACAGCGGCCTTTTACCACGTGATCAGCGGTGTCCAATGACACGCTGATCAGAGGGAAATGCAAATGCCGGTTCTCGGCTGCACTTTCCTCACGCTGTCAGATCGTGAAGAAAGTACTGCCGAGAACTGGCAGTTGTCAGAGCGGGGATCGGCACCGATCATCAGGGCACTGATGATCAGTGCCCTGATGATCGGTGCCCAGCAGTGCCACCCGCAAGTTCCGCCAACCTGTGCCCAGCAGTGCACCCACTAGCTCCGCCCACCTGTGCCCAGCAGATCCCCCACCTGTGCCCAGCAGTGCACCCACCTGTGCCACTCTGCAGTGTCACACACCTGTGCCCAGAAGTGCCACCTACCTGTGCCCAGCAGTGCCACCCACCTGTGCCCACCCACCTGTGCCCACCAGTGCCTCCCACCTGTGCCCACCCACCAGTGCTGCCCACCAGTGCCACCCACCAGTGCAGCCCAGCAGTGCTGCCAGTCAGTGCCACCAGTCAGTGCCCAGGGGTTGTGCCAGTCAGTGCCGCCAGTCAGTGCCCAGCAGTGATGCCAGTCAGTGCCGTCTATCAGTACCCATCATCGGTGTCACCTATCAGTGCCGCCTATCAGTGCTGCATATTAGTGCCGCCTATCCGTGGCACCTCATTAGTGCTGTCTATCAGTGCCGCCTATCCGTGCCACCTCATTAGTACTGCCTATCAGTGCCCTTTAGTGCTGCCTATCAGTGCCCATCAGTGCCGCCTATCAGTGCCCATCAGTGCTGCCTCATCAACGCACATCAGTGAAGGAGAAAAAAAACACCTGTTTGAAAAATTTTATAATAGAAACAAAGAAACTTTTTTTTTTTTTTCAAATTTTTTGCATTTTTTTATTTATAGCACAAAAAGTAAAGCGCCCAGTGGCGATTAAATACCACCAAAAGAAAGCTCTATTTGTGAGAAAAAAATGATCAAAATTTCATATGGGTACAATGTTGCATTACCGCGCAATTGTCAATCAAAGTGCGGCAGTGCTGAAAGCTGAAAATTGGCCTGGTAAATAAGGGGGTATAAGTGCCCTGGTAGGCAAGTGGTTAAAGTAAAAGCACTGATGTGCTCCTTCTATCCACTGGCATCACCCAGATGAATACAAGAGGAACTTTCTGTTCGCCACATTATACTGAGTTTTAAAGCACTTTAATGAGTGATACTTTTAACTTCACATTAATGCCCTGCATGTTTACTTTTTGAGTGACAGCGTTCCCCATGGCCCTTTTGGGGTTAAGGAGGGACCCCATCAAATAGGACTGTATGCTAGGATACCTTGTTGGATATACAGAATCAGTTGCACATAAGCTGAACAGAATAGAGCAGTGTTTTTCAACTGGGGTGCCACAAAGAGTCCTCAGGGGTGCCGCGGCAACATCCCCGGTCTTAGTGTGACCCTGTGTAAACTCCCTAATCACATCCTATAAACCAATGATGTCATTGGTTGCCAAGGACACGTTGGGCTGCACACACTGCTTTCTGTTTTGTAGCAATAGTACACATAGTGGCAGGGACGGGACGAGAACCGGGAGGAGGTGCGGGATGTGCTCTCTCTCTCTCCTCTCTGTGCACAGGAGTTTACAAAGGGTCACATTCACATCTCAGTTTGTAGGGTTTCATTACTGCCCCCTATCTCCTCCCTACATTGCTCCTGTACAGGCAGTCAGAGGGTGGATTGGGGGATATTTTTGCTACAGGGGAGGGGTTGGGAGCAGGCTTTGTGCTAGGACTGGGGATTTGGGAGCAGGGGGTTTGTGCTAGGAGGGGGAATTTGGGGTGTTTGTGATAGGAGGAGAGGTTTGGGAGAAAGGAATTTGTGCTAGGAGGAGGGATTTGGGGGTTTGTGCTAGGAGGGGGGATTTGTGCTAGGAGGGGGGTTTGGGGGCAAGGAGTTGTGCTAGGAGGGGTATTTGGAGGGGGTTGTGCTCAGAGGGGGGATTTGGGGGGGGTTTATGCTAGGAGGAGAAGTTTGGGGGTGGTTGTGCCTGGATTGGGATTGGAGGAATTCATACTATGAGGGGGAATTGGGGGGAGGTTGTTCAAGGAGGGGGAACATGGGGGTTTGTGCTAGGAGAAGGAATTTGGGGGGTGCTCAGATGGGGTAATGCGGGGGATATATGCTAGGAGGGATAATTTGGGGGGAGGAAGAGTGGCAACTTAAGATCACTGAACTCTGTCTCACAGACTACATTTTAGGGCTTGTTCTCACCAGGTGCAGTGTGGTTGCATGTTTCCTTGTAGCACAGAAAAATGTTCTGATTTTTGCAGTCGTGCGGTTGTGCCAAATAACTCTTAAGGACACCCCCATGCATCTAGCAAAATGCACATATGTTTACACCCATTAAAAAAAACACATGGGAACATGCGAAAAAGTGCATGCGCTTGTACACACCTGATGTTGTGAATGAGCCCTCAGATTGGTGCGCTCCAGGATTGTGCAGTTATAAAAGGGTGCCTTGACTGAAAAAAGGTTAAAAAACACTGGAATAGAGTATGTGAACCATCAATGTAATACAATATACAGAACAGCCATGGATTTTTATTTCTGTGTCGAGTTCTGCCTAATCGGCTCCACTTTCATTAAGCATTCTGCTCATACACAGTGGAAATATTTGTACCTTTTCCCATGATGTTACATCAAATACGTGTCTTATTATTCTCAGTGTTCCTTCCTGTTTTTCCACAGATGTTTTTTTAGTTCTGTTTATATAATAAATGCTTTGACACAGGAGAGGAAATGGTTTCAGCAAATGCAGCTGTCTGACTTATTTCATCAGCCCAGGACAGACGTATTGCTATTGATCAGAGCCCTCGTGATGGCGTACATCACATATTGCACACTGACCTTTATTTTCAGGATTCCTCCTCCATATTTTGGCCCGCTGCCTGTGCAGTGCGCAACTGTGCACTTACACTAAGAGCTCACTTAACCACTAATAGCCAAGATAAATGGTTTCTGCCTCCAAATAACTTACACTCTAGAGCCCTACAGAGAACTTCACAACCTTTGAATATCCAGTGGAGAATTCATTACAAGCAGCAGGCTGCTTAATTGGGTTTATGAATGAGCTGATCAAGAGATAAAATGACCTTCTTTTCAGGAATCAAAGTAGTTGTGCACTGCATATTAACTCACAACGTATCCTACCTGGTATTACAAAGGAACAAATTATTTCTATGCATGATTTTGCTGTGACATTGTACCGTATTGCATTGCAGTTCAGTATACAATATATGCACACCATCTATAAAAGACCTGTTAGGTATGTCTGGACACCCAGAGAGTGATTCTAGATATATAGGGATAGACACTCTGGAAATTGTGAATGGAGATTACTCTTTTACCAAAGACTTAAAGCAGATCAGAGATTAAACTGCATACATGCAGACACATGATGGAGGACCAACAGCTGACAGGCTCTAATTTCTATTTTCACATTTGTGAGGGGTGGTACTGCTGCGGATCCGCACAAAAATCCGTGCAGCCGCACCACCCGCACAGAAGAATGCGGACCCGCGGGCGATTGCCGTTAATTCTAATAGCACACCGCCTACACTGGAAATCGCAACCATACTGGGAACCGAGGTTCCCGTGCGGGCTGCGTTTTCAGAAAAAGTGCAGGGACTTCTTCCCTGCGTGTCCCAGGGCACGGGAGTCTATTCAAAACATGGCCGGCAGGAACTCAGATATGTGAACCAGGGGTAATAGCAACTCAACAATGAACCAAAGCATTCTTGGTTTTGATGACAGCTTAGTATAACAAATGTAACTCATGTATGTGCCAAGCAGTTGGCCGACTTTTTCCCAATACCAACTTCAGTAATCTTACTCGGGGTGCCCTTTGCAAAGAAATGACTGTAAGTGAGCAGTGTAAATAATTACCGCAGCAGAATGACGTTTTGCAGAAATCACATCGACTGTGCAACTAAGGCCTCGTTTACACTTGCTTCATGTGTCATTTGACACGCTTATTTAACCACTTGAGCCCCAGAAGATTTTACCCCCTTCATGACCAGGCCATTTTTTGCTGTCTGGCACTGAGCTACTTTAACCACTTGCCCTCCAGAGGATTTACCCCCCCCCCCCCCCTCTTCCTGACCAGGCCATTTTTTGCGATACGGCGCTCACTTGACAATGCTTTCTTTCGGTGGTTTTTGATCACCTGTGTGGTTTTTATTTTTTGCCCTATAAACATAAAAAGACCCATGATTTTGAAAAAAAAAACAATACCTTTGTCTTTTTGCTATAAAACACATCCAGTAAAAAAATTTAAAAATCAAATTTTGTCTAAATTTAGGTCAAAATGTATCCTACTACGTGTCTTTGCTAAAAAAAAAAAAAAAAATATACCAATACATGTAAATTAATTGGTTTCAATGGAAGTTATAGCATCTACAAATGGCGGTATATATACTGGAATTTTTTTTTTCGTTTTATACTAATAATGGCGGCGATCAGCGACTTATAGCGGGACTGCAGCAGGCATTCTGACACTGGGTGGGAACTGACTAGCTGTCATCCCAATGACACTAGTACAGTGATCAGTGCTAATATAAAGCACTGACACTGTACTAATGGCACTGGGCAGGAAGGGGTTAACATCTGAGGCGATCAAAGGGTTAAGTGTGTGCTGTGTGCTGTGTGTGGCTTTCGCTGTCAGCACATTGCTTGTATTGCTCTGCTATGCAGAGCAATACAAAGCAATGTGCAGGAGCTGACAGGGGAGAGATCTGTATTGTTTACATACAGGTCTCTCCCCTGTCACTGATACTCGTTGATCGCCGGGCGGCTCGCGGGCGGGGAATCACCGGCTGGGACCCAGTGATCGACAGCTGAGGCAGCCAATGGCGGCGTGGGTAGGGCGCGTGCGCGCACACCCCCTACCTGGCAAATGCACAAATCACGTATATATACATGATTTTGTGCAGCCCTGTTGCTCTGTAGCAGTACTTCTGCTATAGGGCGGCGGGAAAGCAGTTAAAGCTTTAAAAAAGCATTTAAAAAAAGCTGAAAATTGGCCTGGACAGGAAGGGGGTAAAAGTGTCTGGACTTGAAGTGGTTAAATAGATTAGAATACTTCTCTCTTGTCTCTGACAGTACTGACCAGGGGCGGACTGACAACTCATGGGGCCCCCGGGCAATAGGGGATCATGGGGCCCCTGTGTCCTTGCCCAAACTCAAAAAAGCCTATGAAAAAGGTACCAGGGGCATCTCATGGGGCCCCCTACTGACCCCGGGCCCTCAGGCAGTGCCCGAGTTTCCAAATGGTCAGTCCGCCCCTGGTACTGACTGCTATTTCAGCATGGTGGATGATGTGACTCGTTCTGCACATCACTGAGTAGCTAAAAGATCATTAAGCTGCACAAGCATTAAAGAAGCATTACTGAGCCAATGCAA